TTGGAATATACTATATAGTATACTTCCTTAGTTTTATATATTTTATGTTTTATTTATTCTTTTTATTATTAGTTTTTACGTTATTTTGATTTATCAAGTTATTAGATTATTTATATTATTTTGAATACTATACAATTTTTTTTTTCAGGTCCATTGGCATATCTTACTTTTTCATTTACTTATTTTAGTACTTAGTAAGTTTGTTTTATTATTAATATCTTTATATTAGTAGTATTATAAATGATTTTATTTTTAAACTTTATTATCTTCTTTTCTTAATATTTTTTATGAATAAATATTTATAAATAATTTCTATTATTTTCCATATATAAGAAAAGTTGTATTTTGGAAGAGAATGATACTTTAAAAAAGTTTGCAATTTTCTTAAGTGGGTAGTTTTTTTTTTTTTTTTCAATTTGAAAATATATACATATGCATATTTAATTGTATATTTAATATTTTATTTTTTTGTAATTTTTTTAATTAAGTCAAAGAGCATTATTATAGATGAAATAATATTTCAATATAAAATACTTTTTATACAATGTCCTTTAATTCAATAAGACTACATTTTAATTCACAAATTTTTCTATTAAAAAATTTGCACAAATCTGTGTCTTATCTTTCATTTTTTTTTCTTATTTGTTGTTTTTTTAAGTATGCATTGTTTATATATAAATATTTTTTACCTATTTTTGTGCAATCAAAAAGAAAAAAAGGAAGGGAAGATTTTATATTTATCTTTTTTTATTAATTATTGTATTTATTGCTATATTTAAAAACATTGGGATAAAGTCTTTTATTATTTAAATTGGCATTATTCAATAGTAATCGAAAAAGCTATTTAAAACCAAAATAAACTATTCATGATATAAATTATTTTTGACATTATTTTTGTAATATACAAATTTATGTTTACAACAAAAGAATTTGCTATTATGAAAAAGAAAAAAAATTACTATTAATGATGTCAATTAAAGTTTTATTATCTTTTATATGAATTTTAACTGAGATTAATTCAATATAAATAATAGAAAATAATTTTTTATTCAAATTAGTTAAAAAAATAAAGGTTGACTATTAACAAAATTAAATCTAATTATACCTAAAATATTTAAATTAGTACTAATTACTCATTTAATATTTTGTCAACCACTCTCATAATAAAGGCAAGCAATGGAAATGGAATCAATGAAAATTTTAATATTTATATATATAGTTTTTAAATTATTAGACTATATTTTTTGAAAATTGTTTTTCAGATAAAATCTTTTTGTGTATTTGAATTTTGTAATTGAATTTTCATTTATATATCAATTTGGGTTAATAATTATATGGAAGTAAGTTATTATTATAAATCTAACATATAAGTTTATTTTTAAAAAAAAATAAATGACTTATCTTAAATTGAAATAAATATAAATAATGCAAAATTAAGAAATCAATCTTGAGTTCATCCAAATTTTGTTTTATAAGATACATTCACTTTTTTTTTCTTTAATAATATTGCTCATTGCATATTTTAAAAATTTTATTTTCTTAGATATCACTTGGATATATATATATATATATAATTTGTATTTTTTTATTAACCATATAATTTATATGTATAATATATTTATAAATATAGTTTTTTTTATTAAATTAAGGTATTAAATAATATATTTATTAATATAATACATATATAAATAAATTAAATAATTAATTAAATATATTCTTTTATATATATTGATTGAGGAAAGTCAGGTAAAGCACTTCTAATCTAATCTCAACTTGATCCAAATTGTTTAAAAATATAAAACCTTTAATCCTTATTTAAAAAAAATCACATTGATTAGATCGTGATGAATTGAAACTCATCAAATATAGATTGTTTTGTCATCCCTCTATCTATTGACTTTTTTTTAACAAAATTTATCCAATAGATAAAATTTTAAAAAACAAAGAAAATGACAAAAAAAGTCAAATGGATGACACATGAATTAATTAAATTAAGGTATTAAATAAATTTTTTTAATAAAATATATATAGATATAAAATTAAATAAATAATAAAAAATATATTTTTTATATATACCAAGATCGATGCATAATATCCAGAACTTTATTTTTATCCGAACTCTATTTTTAAAAAATTCAACCCAAATTATCCCAAAATAAAAGAAAGTGCACCAATTAGATATGGACGAATTGAAACTCATCAGATACGTGTTATTTTGATATTTTTATCTCAATTGACTTTTTTTATTACAATATTTATTTAATAAAAAAAGTAAAAAAGTAAAAAAATAAAAAAAGGAAATTGAAAAAAACTAAAGCTTTAAAAAATAAAGAAAATGACAAAAAACCAAAGGAGGGAAATGCTATATAAGCATTCGAACACTGTATATCTATCTCAAACCCAAACTCATTTTCAAAAGAAACCTCGACCGATCTCAATTTTGTTTTTTTAAATGTACTTATGTTGGATTTGTGCAAATAAAAACAAATCAGATACATATTATTTTATCATATCTACTTCTATTGACTTTTTTTAATTAAATTTTTAATAAAAAATAAAATTAAAAAAACCAAATTAAAATGTTAAAATTAAAAAAAATAAAAAATAAAAAATGAAGGAAGGAAGAATACTACTTGAAACACCTTTTCTCTATAATTATAAATATATAGATATTTATTTATGTTTCGGAAAAAGAAACAATGAGAATTCATATAATTAATTTTACTAATTTTGATCATTCCCAAAATTTACCACATGTCACTTTCTCCTTTTTTTTCTTTTTTCTTTTCTTTTTCTTTTACTTTCTTTTTTTCTTTTTTTTTTCTCTTCCAATTTTTAATAAATATTTTATTTTTTATTGTTTTTAAATTTTAGGGTGGAATCAATATGATATTATTGATTAAAAAATTTTTTTTTTACTTTTTTTAATCCTTTATTTTTTAATTTTTTTAATTAGATAATTTTATAAAAAAAATGCCAATGAATGTATCTACGTAATATCTGAATTGACTCATTTTTATTCTTTTTAAGGTCATTTTTTTTAGTTTTATTTTTTTAATTTTTTTATACTTATACATTAAAATTTATTTTTTAATACATCAATTTAATGAAAACACTACATTTATATATAATTATTATGTTATTTATATTAAAATTTTATATTTTTATGAAAATTATACTAAATTAAAATTATTGCACATATATGTGTTGGATTGCAGTTGAGTATAAAAAAAAACCTAATGTTGAGTCAAAGCAAAGTTAGATAGAATAATTAAAGAGTTAGGTTGATATTGAGATAAGCTTAAACTCGTCCTTAGTTAACCTGTTATCATCTTTAATGGAAGTATTCATGTAACATCTTAATTTGACTTTTTTTCCTCCTTTTACTTAAATTTTCTTTTAGTTTTTATCTATTTTCTTTTTTTAATTAAATAAATTTTGTCAAAAAATGGATTACTAGAGATAAAAATGAAAAAATAACCAATATCCAATGATTTTGACCCGCCTTCATCCAATAAGGATGATTTTTTCTTTTCAAAATCGGGTTAGTTTTCAAAATCAAGATTGGAATTGGCCAAGACGATTTGTGTTTTTTTTTTTTTTTTTTCAAAATTAGGATTGAGTTGAAGGCAAGTTCAAGATGCTTAACCACGAACCTCCCCAAGATATATAACAAATATATTCTATTATTTATTTAATTTTATATTTATATTTATATATATTATATTAATAAAATTATTATTTAATAACTTAATTATATATAATTTAAATATAATTTATATTAAAAAATAATATTTTTATAAACATTATATTAAATTTGCTTGACTCGACCTATTTATTATCCTAAATGAAGGTGTTCACATAAGATCTCAATTTGATTCTCTTTTATTTTTTTTCTTGGACCTTATTTTTTTGTTTTAGTTTTTTTTTTTTTGTTTCTAAGATTATCTGTTTTATTTTTTATTAATTATTGAAAAGATAAATTTAAAATGTTGAATTTTGATTTGATTTGTTATGTAAAATGTCATAATGAAATGCACACATTATATACAAATTAATTGATAATTTTTTATTGATCTTTATATTTGTTAAAAATATTATAAGTGAAACTATAATCATTAATTTATTAAATTTATATTGAATATTATTTATTATAATAAAAAAAATTTAACCCACAACAATGCGCGAAACTATTTCTGGTAAGAATAATAATCACCTCACTAATCATTCATTTTGAGAAAAAGCCTTGTTGTTTTGGCTTGTTTAGTATCAGTCCCATTATAATATACTTTTGAACTTGAGAATTAGTTCAAATCATTCAATTATACAAAGAAGATAAATTTCCATAAAATTAATATTCAATTTGTAATTTTCTTCCTCTAATTTCTTAAGCTAGGATCTTTTTTATGAAAAAAAGAAATTCTATTACAGTAGCACGTCGATTGATGGTGCAGCTTGTAATTAATGTATGACAAGTTTCAAATTAACTAACAACGAAAGAATATTATTCTTTTACTTACTGATGAACATATTATACATAACAAAGGATTGAAAAAAAAGTAATAAGAAAGAATTATTATATTTTTAGTTACTGATGAATATATTATACATTATAAAGTAATGAACAAAAATTTAATAAAAGAGATTGCAATCCATGGAAATATAGCATTATATATATTTTTTATTTTTAGATTATAATCTTTTTTATAGAAAAAAAAAGGCACAAATAGCCGTTTGCTATTTTATTTTGAATATTGAGTCAGTTAGATTATTTTTTCCATAGAAGAGAAGGGCTAATCGTTTCAAAAAAAAAAAAAAAAGGATTAATCATTGGAATAAGAGTTTGTGATTAAAAAACAAAAAAAATAAAAAATAAAACATTTCAAGCCTCAAAAATAAAAATTTCAGATCTTTTATTATTATTATTTTTTGGATTTCGTCATATACAAATTTTGTGACATTTAGAAATTAGAATTGGGCTCACTGCTATGGAAGTCCAAGTCAAACCCATTAGTCTAATTCCATAGCTGAGGCCTGATTGCATCATCCTCTCTTTTATGTCCAGTCAAACCCTAACCAGGGTTTAAGCGATCTTTCATTTTCCCTCAATTTCTTTTTATTTTTCAATTAAAATTTCCCTCTTGATCCTTTTCAGATAACTCATCTAATTTCCGAAGCAAGGTCTGACGTTTAAGAAAAGTGAACATTTACATAGAAATGGCAGCCCAGGCAGCAGCTACCACTTTCAATGGAAACTTAAAGGCAAGTTTTTTCGTCTTTTTAAAATTACACATTTCACACTTCACATCTTCGTTAATCCTCCATTATAAATCAAATACCATCATTTAGATTATCTTTTCTAGCACAAATCATCGTTTATTGCAAAACACGCTAACCATTTGTAGTATTTACTGACTGAATTATCATTTTTTTTTGGCAATTTGTAATGATAGGCTCGGTTATTTTAAGCTATAGTATCTCAAAGTTCCGACCTTGGTTTGATTGTTTATGTTTAAGTGGTGTGGGTTTTAGATGATGAGTGAAAGAGGAATTTTTGCTGTTGCATTTCCTTTTGAACTGAGAAATGGGGGTTTTGATTAGATGAGTAAATATGCTGCGAAGATAAAACATGGAAGAATGTTTTGGGATTTTTGTGAGTTTGCAGTGGTCCTAGTGAGTTAACTTGTTTGCTCACATAGTTTTGTTGTTTATTTTAACTATCCAAAAAGTTCTAGATGAATGGGTGGTTTGCAATCATGGGCATATTCATGTTTCATGTTTTTGGTTTTTAACATTGACATGATAAAGATGCTACAGAGACCTTACAAATTCTTGTCCTTCTATTTTCTATGTAAGGGTTACTATTGCGCTGCAATATAAATACTGCTAAATACAAACACTTGCAACTTTTTGTTTGTAATTTCTGTTTTTAACTCCTGCAGAAAGCACTTGCTGGTCTGAGGCGAATTAATCTGGAAGGTTTGAGATGGAGAGTCTTTGATGCTAAAGGACAGGTATCTTTATCCTTTTTCTAGATAAAAAATTATTAAGCTAGGAGGTTCTTTATGTATTGCAAAGAGGAGAACTTAATTTACAAAACTTGTTTCCTAGAAACCAGAGACGTGGGGGCTGGGAACCCTGAACCTCTCTTTTTGAGAAGTGATAATGATATAAAGCAAAGGTTATTTTATGGTTTGCTACTGATTGTGGTTTCTCAATGCAATTCTTGTTTACATCTTTTATATTACAGTTGAACCATTTATTTTAACATCTTTTTCCTGCCTGAGGTTGAAAACAACAGAATAACTTGCATAAATTTTGTTTAACAGGTTCTTGGAAGATTAGCATCTCAAATTTCTACTGTGATTCAAGGAAAAGACAAGCCTACTTATGCTCCAAATCGTGATGATGGAGATATGTGCATTGTGATTAATGCCAAGGATGTATGTGTTACAGGGAGAAAACTTACGGACAAGGTTTATTACTGGCATACAGGGCAAGTACTATATTTTCAGCTGTTTCTTTTAATGAATTGAAGTTGGTTGCATATTGGGAAACTGTATTGAAATTAATGACTCAATTGGGTTTTTCCTACCAGTTGGGTGGGTACCTTGAGAGTTTGGTTCTTTATTGAAACTCAAAATGATGTCCTTTTTTTTTGAGTTCAAGATAGATATTATGTGTTGCAGAGTTCAAAACTGGTATCTTTTTTGAGTTCTGTCAATAGAACAAGAATTTTGACTTTCTTAATGTCGTTCTCTAGGATCCCTATTTCTTTATCAGTCCCTATATATATTTGGTTATTGAGATTGAATGCTTCTGATAGTAATGTTCTAATATACTTCCTTCTGTTGACGAATCATACTTCTCCTTCAGCTATATTGGCAACCTCAAGGAAAGAAGTTTGAAGGACCAGATGGCAAAGGATCCGACAGAAGTCATACGCAAAGCAGTCCTACGCATGCTTCCTAGAAACAAACTGCGTGATGTAAGTATTTTAAACCTGATTAAACTATGTCCTGTGTTTTTTCTATGCATCTATCACCTGCCTGGTTTGTTTCTGCTGTTCCAATTCTCCTTGCTCAATAGGAAAAATCCTAGCACCATGTTTTGAATTTTGCTTCTCTGCATGTTAATTCAAGTAGGCCACCTATACTGTTTTTACTTGTTATTTTTTGAATTTTGGTTCAGTCTACTTCAGAATTTGATTTTCGTAGATTATTGCTTCTTATGAATCTAGGATAGAGATCGAAAATTGAGGATATTTGCTGGTAGTGAGCACCCCTTTGGTGATCGTCCCCTTGAACCATATGTAATGCCTCCCCGAACTGTACGAGAAATGAGGCCTCGTGCAAGAAGAGCCTTGATTCGAGCTCAAAAGAAGGCAGAGGAGCAAGAACAAGGTGGCAACCAAGGAAAAGGCAGAAAGAAAGAAGCTAAGACAGAAGTGACAGCATAAAGAGTGATTGGCCTTATGTCCTTCTCTGATAGCCGGTGATTTTCTGTTCTGTATGCAACCACAGCAACTGTGGGTGTAGATCAGCTCTTGTTGGAATAATAGTTTTGCTTACCAGTTGGCGAAAAATCTTTCTAGCTTGAACATACCAATTCTAGTTTTTCTTTTCGAGGTGATGATTTTTCAGCACAGCAAAAGGTGTGGCTATTGTCAGCACTTGTTGGCAACTCCTAATTCTCCAAATTCCAAACTCCAAACTACTGCTTTAAACATGGGCATTAAACTATTTCTTTGTTGTTATACCATGAGTAATGCTCACAGAACCTATCTTTCTGAGACAAGATCACGCTTCACATTTTATTTGACTTGATCTCTACTCCATGTGTGCTGTAGAAACTTCCCATTTTTTTTCTTACTTTTTTGGGTTTAAAAATTCCATGGCCTTGACCTATCAGCTTTTTCCTTGGGGAAGCTTCTAAATGCATTCCGGTTTTGCTCTACACTTTTTTTTTTTTCAAAATTTTTGTAAATAAAATTATTTAATTATTTTTCTCACAAGTTTCTTACTATCCATGTAAATTATTTAACTTTCCCGAAGTTTAAAGAAAATTACAAAAAGAATATTTTATTAAAAGTTTTTATTAATTGATGTAATGAAAAAAGTTATTATTGAAAAGAAAATCATAAAAATTAAAATTAATAAAAAGTTGATTTTACTATTTTAACTTTAAAAAAAATAAACTCACACAATGCCCTAATTAAACATTTCACTTTTAGGTTATGCCAAAGAAGAAGAAATTATAAAGTTTGAAATTCCTTAAAGCTATACAAATAATATTATTGAATACTAAATTTTACCAAAATCAATATATTAATTGAAGAAACCTATTGTGATAAGTAGATGAAAAATTTTCTCCAAAGAGTTTAGTTTGGTTAAGATTATTATAAAATTTTAATAATCAATATTAAAAAAATATTTATTAAAAAAGTGATGAAGTTTAAATTTATGAAAAGAAAATGAATTTACTATTTTAACTTTAATTTATTTGGATCTTATAAGATTTATTTTTTTAAAATCAAAATAGTACAATTAACTTTTTATTAATTTTAAAATTTATGATTATCTTTTCAATAATAATTTTTTTCATTATATCAATTAATAAAAATTTCTAGTAAAATCTCATTTTTATAATTTTTCTTAAAATTTTAAAAACTAACTTTTTGAGAATTCATTTTTTAAAAAGTTATTTAACTTTTCAAAAATTTATATATGCATATCTGGTAAGTTTTATAACTTACCTGATATGAATATTTGAAAACTTGTGGGAAAAATAATTAAGTAATTTTACTTACAAAAAATTTAAAAAATTGTGAAAAAAAAACGAAGATGCATTTAGAATCTTTCTTATCCTAGATAGGTAATTCTATTCGCAACCCATTTTTTACTCTTCACATCTTTTTTTTTAATTCATTTTTAAATGAAATTATATAATTATCTTTTCTCTTAACACTCCTTTCACTTTTGAATTTTTGGTTTACAAATCCGAAAGTTTTTACAAATTTTCAGATTTGCAAATAGAAAACTCTTAAAAATTTTCGGACTTGCATATCTCTAAGCTTTTAAAAGTTTTTGAATTTACATATTCAGAAGCTTAAAAATTTTTGTAGCATATTTTTCCTCAAATAATTTTTTTCTCAAACCTAAATGTAACTTTTTTTAAAAAAACTTTGAATATATATTTTTGATAAATTATATAATTTATTGGATATAACTTACCAAAAATGAATATCTGATAATTTTAAAATTGAGATTAGAAAAGTAATTAAGTAATTTATCTAAAAATAATTTGAAAAAAAAAAAAGGCAGAAGGTAAAGAGAAAAAATTTTGATGTGTGAAGAACCATCCATCCTTGATCTCTTTGGTGTGTGGAAAATCAACCAGGCCTTGAAGAACTCCTGTTTTACCAAAATTAGATTTCTATTTTCTCTTGGTCATTAGTTTTACATTTTTACTACTATTTTTTTCTTTAAAATTAATTTCAAGAAGAAAAGAAGTAAAATTGTGCATATTGATACAAAAAGTAGATTACATTTTGAAGAAATAAAATTTTAAAATTTAACTCTTTTGTATAATAAAATGCATTGATAGTATTATTATGAACTAATAATTTAATCTTTGTTATTCAAATAGTATATTTTGTATTTGATTATTTGCTTTTACTTTGTCGAAAGATAATTTAAAAATGATAAAAGATATAAAATTAAGGCAAAACAGTAAAAAAATTATCTAATAAAAGTTTAATAATCATTCCAATTTTTAACATTTTATTATAAGTAATCAAACTATAAAGTTTCTATTTCACATTAATTGAATTTTTAATCATTTATTTTCACACAATTAAACCCTTAAACATCTTTTTTTTACCCCAATTGAAGGAAGTTGCTATCTTTTAAAGCTATCAATGCTTTTTTTTTGCTCCCTGTGTTTAAAGCACCACCATAACTTCTTTGAATGTATGATCAACAAACTTCACAAAAACTGAACTTGATATGAAATTTTTGGGATAAATTTAAAGAAAATTTCTCACCTAGAGATTTCTTAGGAATTTTATCATTTGAAATTTTTAAAATTCTCGTCCTTAAATAATTGTAAAATATTTTTAACCAAAAATTTGTATTTGAAAAAAAATACAATTACTTTTATTGAAATTTCGTCTAAATTATTCCATCTAAATTATTCCACAATTTGGGATAAATTTAGATAAATTCTCACCTAGAGATTTCTTAGAGAATTTACCATTTTAAATTTTTAAGAATTTTATCCTTGGGTAATTAGTTTTTAATTCCAAAATTTTATTATGTTTTATTCTTTGAATTGAAAATAAATATTAATTATTATTATTGAAACTTTATCTAAATTATTCCACAATTTGAGATAAATTTAGAAAAATTTCCTCACCTAGGAATTTTATAAAAATTTACTATTTACAATTTCTAAAGATTTCATAATTGGATAATTATTATTCATTCTAAAAAAAATTATTAATGTTTTATTTTATTTTTTATTATTTCTTCTAACTTTTCCTAAAATTTAGTCATGAAAAAAACTTTGAAAATAAATAAACAAAATAAATAAATATATAAATGAATAAATAAATAAATAAATACTAAAATAGGAACCGGCTCGACTTGGCTGGTGTGTGTGGCTAGGTTGTAGGCATGAAACTAGTTGAAAAGGCTTGGAAAGTAGATCAACTTGGTTTAGGTGTAAGTTGTTCAATTTTGGGATTGATCGCCGGAATCTGAGTAATTATGCCAGAATTTTACCCTTAATTGTTGTCAAACCCTTGCTCTTACTTTTTCCTCCATTTTTCTTTCAAATTGCTCTTTGATTGTTGTCCCTTTATCTATGATTTAAAGGTTTATTTATAGGGTACAATATTGAGAATTTTAGATTGATTTCAACTTCAAAAATTAGGATTATCATGGAAAAAATAAATTTTATTTTTGAAAAGTTTAACTTTAAATTTAATCATGATAAAACTACATTATCACCATCCATTCCTTTCTAATTTATGGCCATTCATTCTTTTTTTCAATTATCCATTTTTTTTAAAATATCCAGATACATTTAAAAAAATTAGATAAATATAAGGAAATACAATTAAAGATAAACAACAAATAAACAAGATAAAATAAGAAATAAAATAAAATAAAAAGGATAAATAAAAAAAATATATAGATAAATAAAGTAAAAACATAATTTTGACAAATAGGCTTGGATCAAATCTAAGCCCAATTGATTTGGGCCTTTGGCCTTGAAATTAAATCGAGCACAGTTAATTTAGACCCTGAACTAAATTGATTGTTTACAACTGCCCCTCTTTATGCATTTTCTGTGCAACAAAAATTGTGCAAAGATGTAGACAATCCAATCAACTAGATACATTTTTTATCTTCTTTTTTTGTTTTTGTTTTTTATTTTTATTTTTTTAAGCATAGTCAGATTTCATGAACATCATAAAAATTTCTCTAAATAGAGGCTCAACAACTTTTGAAAAATAAACTAAGACTCTTATAAACAGAGGCTCAATGACTTTTGAAAATAAACTAGACCTCCTTTAAATAGAGGGTTAATGACTTTTGAAAAATAAATTAGGGCTCATCTAAGTAGAAGCTCAATAACTTTGAAAAATAAATAAAGCTCCTTTAAGTAGAGGCTTAATAACTTTGAAAAGTAAATAAGGCTTCTCTAAACAGAGGCTTAACGACTTTTGAAAATAAACGAAGGCTCCTCTAAGCCGAGGCTCAACAACTTCAAAAAATAAATAAAGCTCCTCTAAGCAAAGGTTCAACAACTTTCAAAAATAAATAAAGCTTCTCTAAACAGAGGTTTAACAACTTCAAAAAATAAATAAAGTTTAACAACTTCAAAAAATAAATAAAGTTCCTTTACAATCATGTCCAGAGATCTTATAAATCAAGAGAAGAAATTATAAGAGATTATGCCCAGAGGTCTTACAAATCAATCCTAAAATAAAAGAATGCTCATTTGAGCAAAGGCTTTACAACTTTTACAACTGTTTTTCTTGAAACATCCTTTTTCAAGGACCAAAATCTTACCTCAAAGGTCTTCTTTTTTCAAAATGAGAATTTGAAAATCTTTCACTGGGAAAATCTTCGTATCTATCGTGTTCATGTGAGATCTTGAAATATCCCTACTTCATGCACTAGACATTCTTAAATGCAATGTATGCTATGCACTAAACATTCAAAAAATGTAATGCATGCTATGCAAATGTCATGCAAAAGGGCTAAAAATACTAATATAAGCAAAATAATCTTTTTTCATCAAGTCAGTTACACTAAGAGTCATATTTTATGTTGTATTCATTCTATGCCATTATTTTTCAAGGGTTTAAATCTTAGGATCAAAAGAGATTGCTTGATCATTATGCTTGAAAAGAAAGGGAAAGGTTATATTAGCCTTTGGATAAACTTTGATCAAAAGGTTAAGGGACTTTTGCATTGGACTTTATATTCATTATGAAGGGTTGGAAAAGAGAGAGAAAGTAGCCAAACAGTGGACTTAATCCTGTGGCTTACAGGTTTGCCAAGGCTTGGTAGGAGCAATTAGACCTTGCAAGAATCTATTTACACAAAGCAACAAAAAAAAGTAAGAAATGGGCAAATCATAAACGACAATAGGTGCAGTACCAAGTTGGGGACTTGGTGATGGTGAAGCTACACTTAGTCTTGCACCATAAGGACGTGCATAAGGGCCTAGTCCAGAGATATAGGGGATCTTTTAAAGTTTTGAAGAGAGTAGAAAAGGTCATGCACTAGCGGCCAAGGCTCGAGCACCAAACACAGAGGCGGGGGTTCAAGCAATAGTCATGGTAGAAGCATCTAAATCGCTTATTTTCCAATCAACTTTACTTTAAAAGTTTAACCATTTCTTGTCATGAAAATTCTCAATCTTTCATCAAAGTCAAAAC